GACCCAAACCATTCAAAGGAGTCGTTGCATTCGGTGTGTTGCGGTGTCTCTTCTTCCTGTACCTAAAGAAAGAACAAACTGGAAAATTTTCAAAACCTGTGAGTGGTAAACTAGACAAAAAAAGCTTTTGTTGTTGCTCTTTTCTTATTATTCATATTGTTTTCCTATTCCGCCGTGATTCCGATGTCACAATATCTGTACCACAGATTGGGTATTGTATATTTGTATATATATTTATATATATTAGTACCTCCTTCAAATTCTATACCGTGTGGACCGATGGATAACCTTATAAAGGGTAGCGACTTGGCCCACTAAGCAATGGGCAATGGCTGTGGAGTTGCATGGCAACCGCTAGCTGGGATACAACGCGACTCCTTCTCCACTGTTATGCGAGGGACAGGGTCGTCTCCTGAGTGACAACTTCCACTGCCAAACTCTCACTCGCTTTATATTAATGTACGTCAGATCCTACATATAGTAGACACTACTGATATTCGAAGGTTCTGAACCCCAGTAAGGCTGTGCGGCCACAAACATGGCCGCTTGAATAAGCACTGAAGCTGCTGACCAACTCTGTCGTTATAAACATGGTTAGCATTCAAAACGCAACAGAATGGGTGAAGGAAATTCCAGAATGAGGATTGGCTGATAAACGTCCATTCCGAAGGAAAATATGTGGGAAATTCCCTCAGCTGATCAGCTGACACATCAGGTCTACCCGGCACTTTACAGCTGATTCGGCGCATCGATCCGCTAATTCTTTGAACACACCAGATCGATTTTTTTTCCATCTGCAAACACCACTTTCGGTGGGGTGGAATAGTAGGTTTATCTGGATGTTTTACTTTTCCTTCTCCGATGGCTGGTTAATAGAAGAAAAAAGTCTGATCCTGTCTTCCGCTGAAGTCCCCATTTTGCAGCAGCAAATCAGTATTTACTAGCACAGGATTACCTATAACACACTCTTACCTCCCATGACGAATCGAACACAGATGCATCCCAATATGGTAATAACGAGACATACGATATTAAATGGAAGCCAACACAACATGGAATACAATCTTGGAGCGCACGCATCTAACTTAAACAGGATGCTCAAACAAACAGCCTCAGGTGACACCGGTGATGGCGGTTCGGCATGTGAACAGACTAAAAGATCTATATCGGATGAATCGTCTCCGACTCCGCAGCCTAACAAACCCGCTCAAACAACCTGCTTTAACAACTGCGTGACTACAATTAGCACAGCCAGTACACTTGGTAATATAACCTCAGCCACTGTTCCTAAACTCACTCCGAACGTCGTGAATGCCACGACCAGTCCAACGGAAAACAAAACCAATCTTATCATTAATTATCTGCCACCGAATATGAGTCAGGAGGAAGTTCGTGCATTATTCTCCAGTATCGGTGAAGTGGAAAGCTGCAAACTCGTACGTGAAAAGACCTCTGGTGAGAGTTTAGGTTACGCATTTGTTAAATTCTACGACCCGTCCGATGCAGGCAGGGCGATAAAGACGCTGAACGGATTGCGGCTACAAAACAAGACAGTGAAAGTCTCTCTCGCTAGGCCTAGCTGTGAGGCGATCAAGGGTGCCAATCTGTATATATGTGGGTTACCACGCAAAATGACGCAACCGGAATTGGAAAAATTGTTCAGCACTTGTGGGTACATAATCACCGCCAGAATTCTGTATGATACGAAGACGGGCATGTCCCGTGGGGTCGCATTCATACGTTATGACCAGCGCGTTGAGGCAGAGGCTGCTATCCGAAATTTAAATGGGTACTTACCTCCTGGAAGTAGTGAACCAATCACTGTAAAATTTGCGAACTCACCCAGTTCAAACCGTACAGAAGCCGTGAACGTGTGTTACGCGAAATCGACTGACGACGATTTGAACGCACGGTTTGCCTCCAATTCCACAGTTTCACCTGCTTGCTCAGGAAGTCCATTAAATGGGCCAGTAGGAGGGACAGGAGCAGATAACTCAGGCTCTAGTCGCTTGCAAACGACAAACAATGGAGCACAAGATCCCCAAGCGCGGCAGGCAACTGACAGTGATACAGATCGTCGAACAACGCCACCAGGCTTCGTGTACCAAGCACATCGCACTGGACTCAACCAGCAAAATGTTCCAGGATGTAACACGGTATGTGCCTACGGAAATACTGCCGGTGGAAGCCCCGCCACAAACGCGATGGTAACTCACAGCGGGACTTGGGACCATTCCCAAACGATTCCTAACAATTATTCGATGCCACTGAACAACTCTGGCAGTGTTAACGGCTTATCCACGGCCCCAATGCAGCGGCTAACAGGAGCACATCGCCTCAAATGTCAGGCTGCTGCTGCTTCTGCAACGACATTTTCTAACGCCACCGGGGTTGGATTACGACCTTCCAATCCGTCACCCGGTGGGCCTGCTCCGCAAAACTTTCCGACCGGGCTGCCTAGCTTTGGAGTGGATCATCTAATGCGTGGATTAGCTCCCAGCGCTCATGCTTTACTAGCACCTGCTTTTGCCGCAAGCTCTGGGGCACTTACGGCTACCGGCTGGTGCATTTTCGTTTACAACTTAGCTCCGGATACAGAGGATTCCACACTCTGGCAGTTATTCGGGCCTTTTGGGGCTGTTCAGACAGTCAAAGTCATCCGTGACCCCGTGACAAGCAAATGCAAAGGCTTCGGTTTTGTGACCATGAGTAATTACGAGGAAGCGTTGCTCGCAATACATTCGTTAAATGGATTTAGCTTAGGCAATCGAGTGCTGCAAGTTTCTTTCAAGACCACGCCTAATTCTCGACACATAAAATACATGAATAACATGTCCCAAGATGTTGCTATGGTCGCTGGCTTACACGGCACACTAACCCCAGTTCCTGGTTCATTCCGGAAAAGTAATTAATCGCAACGTTTGCTATTACCTCAGAGATAGTATTTGTCCTTGTACGTTTCTCACTTGTGTTAACTTGAATGTTTATCGTTGGATTCATTTATTTCCACTATACCGCACTGCTTTTAGAACCAAAAACAACGAGTTACACTTTTATCTTGACCCCGGTGCTTGGGATCGGCTTCTTTTGTGTTTTCATGATGGCAATGAGCCGTTGTGATGCATTCTAGACCTGGCACAAACAGGCTTCCCCATGTGCCAAGTTTAATCTAATTTTCCTCCATGTCCCTCACATTTAGAGTAACCTCATGTTTTGTGACGTCTAGTCACCGACAATTCGCATCTCATTACTGAGTGTTGGGTTTGACGAATGTTGACACCGCCTTTTGCTTTTCGATCTACTTAGTAAACTTGACCTTTATGAACTAGTGGGAACTGTTGTCCTTTCGCGCATCCTGGTTTGTAACCTATCTTACTGTTGTCATTAACTTTATTGTCTCCATTCTTATCAATAGCCACTTGCATACAACCAAATGACACGCTGTTCTACGAGTCACATAGTTGTCCTTTCGAATACTTGGTTCATTTGAACACCACAATTACCAGCACTACTAGATGATCTAGCATGAACGACGATCCTCTCTTCCCCAACGATGAATGTAGGTGCTACGTCTGCTGGCATCGTATCACATCTGGTATCAACCGTAGACAAAGCGGGATGAACGTTTCGTTTCACTCCGTATTTCTGTTGTTACAGTTAACGCTGGCGACCAGGTGAGCTAATGACCAATCTGATCTATGTGCACGTTGGTCTCTATCTGGGTAGGGAAACGGGAATTACTTTTGTGCCGTGTTACCCATTCTGCTGAAACCTTGACTGATCCCCTTTCACTGGGATGTAATTCTCCTGTGGTTTGCAGGATAGTTCTTAGCTTACTGACAACAACGATTTCACTACGGTTGTTTTCCGTAAGTTTTAGCAAGGCTATCGCAAGATCTCCACTACCAGACCATCATGCGCACTTTGTTATCCGTCATTACGTAGGAATGCATGCGTGTGCGCACGTTGTAGTAATATTTGTATTGACCTACCTGTTATAAGACAGAAATAGTCACGCAAATCAGCAAAAGAAAATGACCTACCGCTAATTTAATACCAGGTTTTAACCATCGAGCGTATTGTTTTCCCATCGTTTCTCATTTTAGCGTTTGAAGAAGTAAGAATTCTAAGTATAGGCGAAAGTGAACATAGGACAGTCAGAAAGACTAGTAGTATCTTCAAGAATTAGTAGCAACTAGTATTTCTTGTTCTTCTATTCACGAGTGGAACGATACACAGAGCCAGAAATAGATGCACTTGAATTGCGTCATTCAATGCGTTAGGACCAAATGGTCGTTTCAGTGCAACCAAGTCTTTTTCAGTGAGAATATACGCTATATATATATATATATATATGGCAATCACAATCTGTGAAACAGATATTGGGCCATTCGAGTCATGGCAAAGTAAGAAAACGGGATGGCAAGGGGAGAGTGAAAAAACGACACTTTGTCCCGTGTACTAGTCACAGTTTTTGAATTTTTTAATGCATTTTTATTAGCCTAGGGAAAGGGAATCAACGCAACACGCAGAGATACACACTTGCCACTATCATCAGTCCTAAGACATGACTTTCAGGGTCGCCAACCGGCGACAGTACGTATCTCTGGGACCCCAATCAGGGAGTCGCGAAAAACCGACAGAGAAAAGCTTCGCCAGCTTCTCCATGCCGCTTCGCCAAGTCGTGAACAGTTCACTGCACCGCCTCCTCTAACCCTGCCTAGCAACCGTGAACAATGCAGGATGAGGAAGACTCCGAGCATGCATGCAAAATAGATGCCCAAGCCGCCACAATGGACGCTGTCAGACGAGCTCCTCGAGTGAGTGACTTCTTCCACCGATAACGCGCTGTCTAACTTCCATATTGTTTAGGTGATGCAGCCCCTTTACACGAGCAATGGACCGCATGTAACGGTGCTCGATTGCAGACAGCCGGTGTTGCTTAACGGTAGGGACATGTCAAGTCTCGCAAACGTACAACAGTATAGCGCGAGCAGTCGCACAATAAACACGCCCCCTGATGAAGCCACGGATGTATTGGTGGCTACCACAAATGTCTCAGGAACGCTAGACGAGCTCTTGAGATATGCATTCAAAGTCTTGTCTCTAACAGCCCCAATAAAGATAGAAGAGACTGCTGACGCAGTAACAGCGAAAGCACCTGTGGAATTCATGCACCGATGATTCGTCAGTGGGCCTGAAACTCAGCCGTTGCACAGGCCGTAATAGAGAGGGGTCTTAGAGTGCCCTACCCGGAGCCTCTGATCAAGCATCTTGCTTACAAGGCAGCAGGACGATATAAGAGCGTCGTAGGCCAGTGGGAGCTGCTGACCAAACAAGTAGTTCCTACGTGGAGGGTTTCGGTAGGGTTCTGTCCCGTCCATGCACTACACGACCGACGGTTTCGTCTTTGTTTAGGCTAATCAGGTAGAGATAGCCGAGCTGGGAGTGGAACTCGTCGCACAGCGCTAGGCGACCATCGCCATGAGCGCTAGGCCATTGAGCTTCGCGAGCAGTGTTTGACACGTACGTCTTTAGGACCTGCAAATGATCAGGGAAAAATACACCCTTGGCTTACATTGTTACACAGAGAGAGGCAAGGCACAATAAATTTATTTAGTAGCAAGTCATGTCCGCAACTTCACAGCGTTGCTAAGCGGACACGTGCTTTTTATAGGGTAAACGTTTGCCAGGAGAAAACCCACCAAGTACTGGAATAATGCCGCAAGACTATTTGCTGGAATGGGATAATCCCGAAGCGCCTAGTTGGCACCACGAAAAGGCGGTTTGCCTAGCATTTGAAGATTGCCTGCTAATTGTTTACAAAACCAAACTAGAAGGCGTGACGAGCATTGCATCGTTACTGCTGTCACCAATTAACTATCGTCCCCACGCAAGTGCAATCCCAGCGAACATCTATTGCGGGAGAGGAAAAGCGGATGCATTTCGTTCCGCAAAGGGACCAAGATTCGCCTGCGCAAAAATGAAATCGGACAAACGGTATGTATGTGATAGCATCCCGAAAACTTTAGTTGTGCTATTTGTAATAGTATTTTGCTGGCACAAATGATTATCGCTGTACTGAAAATGTCATCATTCGTAACTCAACACCGCAGGTGGAGTATTGGGTCCAGGTGTTCGAGCTACAAACACACGGATTCAGCGCATGAGTGTACAGCTACTTGTTTTGTGAACAGCAATACTTGGAGCCAAAAATATACTGCACGTGGATATTAAGAAAGATTTGAAACATTTGGAATCATCAGGCAGTTTAATACGGTTGGTAAAAGTAGGTCATCCATGGTTATCTAGGGACTGTGATGTCCAGAAGATATTAATCATCTTTTGGACCGTTAACTGCTTACTAATAGCAAGCTAACAATTGCAAAGTGTAAAGCAATTTCTGATGTCACTTTAAGTTTGTTTCATAGATTTGAGCAGTGGGTTAGAAAGAAACGTTCTCCGATTCTCGTAGTAGATTTTGGAATTATGACATTTACCTGTTTGTTCCGGACTCGATATCTGCGGTTTAAAGATATGTGAACACTGTTAACAATACTGCGCATTTATGATTCTGTAAAGAATAGGTTCAGCTTCATTCTCCGAATCCAAACTGAGTCGAATCCAACTTTATCACATCGCTCTGTTTATCAACATTAAGGAATATCCATATGAGTTTTTCGTGAAGCCTCTCTGGGCCCTCTCAAGAGCAAGCTGATCAGATTTCCGCGGATTAGACAGGAAGACTGAATAGCATTCCATACGCGGCAGTACATATGTTTCGTAAAGCGATATGCGGAATGCCGCGAGGTAAAAATGATGGCAGATGTAACCGATGGTCTTCATGGTTTTTGAAACTTGAAAGTCACAATTTTCAGAAAAGTTAAACCTGACTAAATTTCGCACCCTCAAATAGCGAACTGCCCTGCATTGAGAGATATATGCGCTTTGTAGTAATAAACTGTCTGGTAGTACTTGGCATTTGTACGACAGAATATTACACTTGTCCACGGCAAATGACATCTGCCACAGTTGGAACCAGGAGTCAAGAACAGAAAGGTCATCATGAATGAGACGTAGAGCTTCCTGGGTATTTGCATGTGGTTGTGAGTAGACAACTTTAATGTCAGCAGCAAAGACAAATGTAACACCAATTCTTATTCAGTGGAATATATCATGGATACATTAGAAAAAGAAAATGACGAGGCACACTCCCTTGAATCACTTCACTTCTGCTTGCTTTCGGTTTAGAGAAATGGTCGTCGATGTGCACTACCTGCTGTCTAGCAATTGAATATGAAGACAGCCAAGCAATTTCGGTTCTCCAATGCCTATAGCCCACAGTTTGTTCAGTAACCTTCTGTGAGGCACTCTATCAAAAGCTTTTTGCATATCCAGGAACAGGACTACAACATGGTTTCCGTTGTATATGGCAGCCGTTGTAGGGTTTAAAATGTCTGTCTGACATGTTGCGCAGGATCGACCTTGCATGAAGCCGTGTTGCAAATTGCTGATGATGTTAGCCTTGTTCAAGAATACAAATAGTTCATATTTCACTATCCTTTCCATTATTCTTGATACAATGGGTGTGTGATTGATAGGACAAAAGTTTATAACCTTGTCGGCAGCGCCACTTTTGTGTCGCGAGATAACGACAGAAGTTTTCCATTGAGTAGGGTATACTCCGTTGTTAAGAGTCTAAATATGTAGAGCAAAAGCAGAAGGAAATCACTACCGCCGCTTTTTTTTATAAGCAATGGCGGATCCCATCAGGGCCTGTGCACATTGAGAAACATAAGCGAGAGACCGGAGCAGTGCTTTTTGCTGTAGTGAATTCCACTGTGCATAGGCTTTTTTGTCGTGCTGCATGAGAAGTGTTGGTGGGTATGATGATTCAGTAACCATTGATTCT